AAAAAAAAAAAAAAAAAAAAAAAAAAAAACCTCGAGCATCAACAGTTACCTCTCTAGGGTGGGTTGTATACGGATCGCTAGCGTATCTGGAAGCTTCCAGCGCTTCCTCCAGATCAAGTTGAGTGGCAACTTCTCTAGAAATGCGGTCGCTGATGACAACGCCAGCATTGGTGACGTCGCGCAGCACGACGTCCTCCTCCATTGTCATCTTGTGTGGAACCCTAAAACAAAATTTGGGGAGCGGAATTGGGTGCAGAAACGCTCTGGGATTCGAGGTAAAAGGAGTACAAAATTTGAATCAGTGTAGCATAGTAGTATATCCCTCGGTTTCTGTACAACTCAAACGTTCGGAAATCAAAATACAGAAGAGAGCTAGAGAGTGTTTGAGCACCTGAGGTAGGGTTTTTGAGCGGGTTGGCAGTGGCGGGGAAATAAGGGTAATTTAATTCGGAGCCTTGTGAACCCGGTTTATCCCATCGGTCCAACCGGGGTCATGATACAATACAAATACGACGCAGTTCTTTGTAACCCGGTTCCTAATTATTTTACTGGTGATTCGGCGGTTTTTTTATTAATTTTTTTTTTTTTTATAGTTATAGGTTTTAAAGACTACTTATTTAGTTATAGTTTAAAAAGTTTTAAATCATTTTTTTGTCTCGGTCAATTCAGCTCTCTTGCTCGGTGCCTCGGTCAATCCATTAATATGTTCCTGCGAAAAAAAATAAAAATATTTAATATTCAATAATCTCAACCGTATTTCATTTTTTACACTTGATTCAAATTCGCTAATTCGTAATTTAATTTTGATAAAGTAAGGTATATGTATAAATATACCCATTTTTCATAAGTTTTATATCAATTTCATACTGTACCCATTTTGTAACTTATCGAACAAATTAGAAAAGATAATCAACGACATTTATCGAACAAATTAGAAAAGATAATCAACGACATTTAGAGCAATAACTTGTTAAGAGTTAAAATTACAACATTTATCTAACTTTGGAGTATAATTTGATAAAATTAAAAGTTTAGGCTGAACGCTTGGCGAAAGAATAGTGTGGTAGCAAAAGGGGTTTGCAGGCCGATAACCCGACCAGCTAAAAGCAACTCCAAGTTCGAGTCGAAATATTGGAGATTCTGCTGTGAGGTAGATATATGAATGGGTGAGAGCCAAATGAAAAATCACCCAGCTGATGGAAGTTGATGGACAGTGAACAATGGTCCAGGACTCAAAGGGAGAAGGCTCCAAAAGCACCCCTCACTGTCAACACAACAGCTATACCATTTGATTCTATAGCTACCTACAGGAAAACGAGACACATCAAGCAAGCAATTTGAGAATCCTTGCCCTTTCTCATTGGGTTCAAACTTCACAAATGCTTGAACCACCCTCTCAGTTCTGCAAGAACTTGATGTTTTCCCCTGGCTGATACATACCTCGTTTTTGCTCGACTCGGTCACGTAATGCAACAGTTTGTTTTGCATTTCTACGATGTCGTCGTCTTCCCATGCTTCGTAGGCCTGCTGTTTTTGCTCGTTGTGCTTAGGTTCCTGGAAGGACAAACCACAATACAAAATGCAGTACATCCTGGTGATTCGAACCGATGTATTAGGTGGAATGTTTTTCAGTTGAAGACAAAGGTTTAACGATAGGTGGAAGCCGAATGGGATGGATATTCCATCCAGTTTACGAGCATCGGTCGTGGCGTAGAGTTCAGAGCCAATGCAAGGCCTGAAATTTGAAGTCAATTACTGAATAACTAATCTATGAGGTAAAAGAAAATGGCAGCAGAGAAAGCTACCGAGTATACCTTACACAAAAGAAGCACTTGGGCACTCGGAATGGAATGCTTATCCACTGCATAAGAATGTTTGATAAAAACTGCATGCCATCCTCCATAACTCGAAGCACTGTCCCCTCATCCATTCCATTTGACTTGCTTTGCGAACGGATGACCTCAGAAACAGCATATCGACAGAGAGTCGAGATACCTCTTACTTCGTACCCCATGTCTAATATCTTGTTTCTCAAAAGCAAATGCAAACAGTTATTCGGTCCTCCAGTGGCGTTGAAAAGCTCGGTAAGCTGTTTACTCGTTTCACGATCTACCGACCACAGCCTGCCAATCAGATTTCGAATGAGTACAGAACGTAATGTTCTGAAGTCATCCACATTTTCAGTTAAAAGAGACGTAGCCAAATTCGGAACACGAAAGGCAAAACCAGTACAGAAGGCCAACAGAGAGCAATTCAGTGCAAGGGCTGAAATAACGTTCAAATTCTCGGTGTCCATTCCAATAAAAGTTGTACCAATGAGGTCGAATTCATGGGACAACCTCTCGAACGTTAATGATAATTTACTAAATTCTTCCACAGTTTCATGTATAGCAGCAGTATCATTTGTCGAATATGGAACGTTTAGCAACAGCTTCACTATGCTCCCTATAGTTCCTAACATCTTAGCTCTTAACGACAAAAACCATCTCTGGAAACAAAATGCTTGAACGGGTGTGTCGACCGAAGATTTTAAGGCCTCACCTGATGAGCAAAGACACTGGTAGGCCTCCAAAAGCTTGTCATAGTAAATGCCCTCAGAGATACTCCCAGCATGATGATGTTTTATCTGTTCTTCAGTGGAGAACAAGTTCAGAATTGTTTCCTGCTCTAACCAGTTTATCAAGCCAGAACCATATTGTGGTAACAATAGTAACTGGATTTTTCTTTCCGCAAGAGCAAACTGAAACAATGATTTCAACCAGTGTTCGAAGAAACCAGAGCGAACCTTTGAAGATAAATGGCCAAAAATCAAGGTAGCAGCAAACCACGATCCATGACATGCTGCGTGTCTCCCCGCCTTGTAAGCGGGCCATTCATCCCCATTTTTCAGCAACTTCTTTGCACACTGAAGAGTAAAAATCTCGTTTTCGGTCAATTTTTCACAAAAAGTGAAACGTGGGAACCCGTCGTTATTGCAGCTCCTAAAATCCTCAGTTATCCTACAACTCAAAATGAATTTACAGTTCAATAGCAAGGAATGGCTACTAAACAAAACGCCTTCGCATACGCTCTTGACCAATAGTTTCACCTTGTCAAATATTTCAGAGGTGATACCGACAACTTGACCCAGATGACCGACGCAGATTGCCATAAATCCATATAGAATGAATGCAAATCTCAAGCTAATATCATTTTTCTTGTCGCCTTCAACGTCCATATCTATTTGCTGCCTATCAAAGACACCTTCATGCATATTCATAATTAATTCAACAGTAAAACAAATTTTCTCCAAAAGAAAAGACCACAGATCTGAATGTTCTCTAACAATGAGCAGGAGAAGGTTTAGCAGCCCTTTAATTTCTTGAAACACTTCAGAATTTAACTGAGAAAGATCTACTAACAATGATGTAATTTGATCCATGATTAGTGAAATAACCTGTTCTGGCAACAAAGAGAATGAACTAACTCCTGATTCAACTTCCATTTTTCCAGAAAGCTGTAATGATAAATCGACCAATAAACGGACAGCGTGGAGGCTCGTTAACATCACTCGAGATTGGGCTGCACTCTCCACAGCTTTTACCAGTTTAGAGTATTCATTTGCATCCAAAAAAGACGGGTTTGGCCGCACGTAGAAAATAATCTGCAACTTATCCATCGTGATTCAACATATTTCAAGATCAAAACTTAAACATGAGTTCATCCATTTAAGCTCAGGAATGACCTTTCGCAACAGCCGTAGAACGTCACAATGTGACGTAGTCGTTAGCATGGGTTCATCCAGTGCATCAACTAAAATTCTGACCACAGATTCCATATTAGTAAACAGGCATTCTCCTTTCATGAAAATAAAACGCAAACATCTTAAAGATGTTTCTTGCACACGCGCAGACTTTTTGTCGCTAAGAAACGAGCAAAGAAATTTCACCTGCGTTGGGACATCGTAAACAAGTAATAACATTCCTACTATGATTAAGAAGATCAAAATCCTACAATGCGTCCAAAAGCAACCATCATCTAAGAAGAATAGTTACCTGCTCAGAACTAATAAATACTGACTTCGAAGCCAGTTTGGATAGAGAAAATAACATTGCAACCAAAAAATCCTCTTCACTAGAGTTTGAGGCGAGCTCGAGTCCAGCCTACAATAATTAGATAGTTAAAAACCATGTCAAGTCATAATCAGCACAGTAATATTTTTTTATGCATGCAGATTCTTGAAAAAATTGGTCGCATGCATACTCCGACATTTCTTCATCAATTCCTCTCACCCCCCTATCACATCAAGGCAGAGCTAACCCAACATTCTACTGCTCTCTAAAAGGCCAGCCCATTCGACAAAGCAATCTTTGAACCCCGAGAGAGGTACAAAATAATACAACAAACCAACAAGACAAGAATGGACTCATAAGATAGGCGGTCAGGGAAGCGATTTAAAATTATCTGGCTGATGAAGTTCAAAGATAAACGAGCATCAACAATAGAAAAGTAACTCCGAAATTCAATAACAATACAGCATACTGTTCCAGTCCATGTAATATTGGATTAATCATTAATACTTTCTCCATTGCCAAAGTCGAGATACAATCTGAAGTACGTTTCAGTGTCAAAGTTAGTATCCATATGTTTAATACAAGAAGGCTGTAGAACTGGATGTACCACTTTGGTTCTTCATAATAACTATTAAGGAGAAGTGGAGCAATTTGCTGAGCTTACATCATTGACCAAAGCCAACTTTTCACTCCCTCGACTTCAATATGAGATAGTATTACAAAACAATAAGACATGCCACCTTTTTCAAGGCCAAGTTAAGACTTCATGATCAATATTATCATCTCAAAGACTCAGAACTCTATTTGAATTCAAAATAAATCAAAAGATGAGCATAACCTTGTAAGCCGTTTTGGCCATTGAATGTGAGCATCCCAATTTCGCGAACACTCGAGCTCCAGCCATTTTGATGGCCAAGGATGTAGTAGAAGTCATTATATTAACCAAAATCGCTAAGAAGACTTGCGCAAAGTCATCTGCTAACTGACTAATGCATGCTGCAGCAAATATAGATGCTTTAACCTGTAAAAGAGGATATCCTTAGTTTAAAATATGTTCAAAATTTTGTGTAGACAGGTTTATTAAGGAATCATGCAATTATAGTGTATAGGATGGAGAAGGAATCTCCTCTTAAACAGGAATGTCCAGAATACATAAAATTGGGTTTGGCTTTACATACACTTCGTTAAATTTCCTAATAATCCACTAATAGAACACAACACAAAATAAATCAATGCTAAACCTTAAACGAAATTGTCAAAGACGGTACAAGATTTAGTAGGTTAAGGTAATTGATTTTTCCTTGAGAGCATCCACAACAATTTTCTAAATACTATAATTAAAATTATTTTGGCCTCTATGAACTACATTTTAGCTTACTGCTAGTTTTATCGAGGAATGAGTCCACTAAACAAACAATCCAGTCTCTACCCCAAAACCCTTACATAAATTATTTATGAAACTTATTCTCAATCAAGAAGATGAATTTGCTTCCAAGTCCAGGGCATACGTGTTATAGTTGAGAAAAAGAATATTTGGTCGGCTTTCTTGTTTCGGTTGGCTAGTTTGAATCGTTTTCGATCATTCCGGGAGTGCTTTTGACCAAATTAAGCCCAAAAATGTCCGTACGACTACTGTTTTGGACCACTAATAATATTTCACACTGATTTAAGGATAGTGAAAGGATTTGGCTCCACAAGTAGGCTCAAAACTCAATTTTCTGAGTGGAAGGAATATTGTAGGTAAAATTGGATTACGTGAAGCTAAACCTAAGAATATTCAAACAAGGCAAGCTTAGGAGCATCAAGTGAACCTAAAACTGTACGTGGACCCTATTGGGATGCCTATGGGCTGGTTGGATAAAATTATTGTATCATACTTGTTTATTACGTGATATATGATAATGATATAACTATGTATGTTTTATTTGATGTATCGTACTTCCATGCATGTGAATCTTATGAACATGTGTGATTCTCGAGGCACCATGAGTTGAAATATGTTATAAAGTATGTTAGAAATGTCATGATTATGTATGCTAGTCTCGTAGAGAATGTATATCATGATAACATGGAAGTGCTGTATGCATCATCCAACGGCCCCATGGTTTTTATGCAGGACCTCGTGTGTGTTATAAGTACATTGAGTATGGATTACTTTTCCTCACATGGTGCATACCCATAAGAACGATTTCGAGTTAGGTTCATTACATAATGATACAATGCCAAATACGAAACTCTTATTGAGGAAACTCTTATTGAGGAAATGAAAGCTTTTCTTAAACATTCTTTCGTCATAAGGGAATTTATATACTGAACCCAGTTGGACAACATAAACTAAAATTGTCATAAAAGATTAAATTTTGAGAAGAAAATAAAATGTATACAGCACTAACCTCCGAAATATGAGAAGATAGCATGCTAGAAAGTATCATATAACGTATCTGGGCACTGCCTTCTGCAAAATGTGCCCAACATCCTAATAGAATCAAAGCTAGAGCCCTAGCCTCAGGATCCCCTCCACCAAGAACAACCTTTACTCGAGTCAGTAATTCATGGTGGTTTTGCACTCTGGCCTTTGAAAGAACCCCTTGGTATTGTTTACTTTTTGTCCTGTCACGGCTATTGAGCTCGGATAAGAATACCTTAACAACTGCAACTCTAATATGTTTGTCATCAGACTTAAACGCATCGGCAAGCCGTAGGAGAATAGTGTTGGAAAATAGCCTATCCTCCCAAGTAACAAGGTCAAACATATTATATACTGCTATATTTGGCTCTGGCTCTCTACTCCATTGCTGAAGTCGAGATCCAATCTGAAGTATAGCTTCAACAGCCCGACCTGAATAAACCACAAATTACAAGTATTATATTTCATTAAGACAGTGCTATTACTGTGCTCCAACCCCAAAGTAGGCACCAATGTTGTTTTTAGTTCAATGGAGATGCTCAGCCGATGAGGGATCAATTGACAAGCAGCTTTTGTGACAGTAATATTGAGGATGATTGGGAGGGAGTCCCACGTTGGATAATTTAGGGAATGATCATGGGTTTAGGTTTATAGGTAAGGAATACATCTCCATTGGTATGAGGCCTTTTGGGAAGCCCAAAGCAAAGCCATGAGAGCTTATGCTCATAGTAGACAATATCATACCATTTTGGAGAGTCGTGATTTCTAACATGGTATCAGAGTCATACCCTTAACTTAGCCATGTCAATAGAATCCTCAAATGTCGAACAAAGAAGTTGTGAGCCTCGAAGGTATAGTCAAAAGTGACTCAAGTGTCGAACAAGGGGTATACTTTGTTCGAGGGCTCCATAGGCCTCAGGAGAGGCTCTATAGTGTACTTTGTTCGAGGGGAGGATTGCTGAGGATTGTTGGGGGAGTCCCACGTTGGTTAATTTAGGAAATTATAATGGGATTACAAGTAAGGAATACATCACTGTTGGTACGAGGTCTTTTGGGAAGCTCAAATCAAAGTCATGAGAGCTTATGCTCAAAGTGGACAATATCATACCACTGTGGAGAGTCGTGATTCCTAACTATCGTTTCTTTTCTCTCTCCCTTTTTTAGAAGCTAGCCTAGTAACTTTCGTTTGAAATTAAAGAACATAGATCAGTCAGACGATTGACGAACCTGGTTTCTTTGAACGAAGAGCCTTCTCCAGCTCAATACTCCATTCCATAGCACAAGCTGCAGCATTTCTCTCCATGTGATGCAGATACTCAAACCAATAGCAGTCACACATGCACTCGAACGCCCCAGACCCCTTTACGAAAGCATCACCAAATAGTCCCAGCGAATAAAAAAAAAAACGCTAAATTCGGTACCCAAATCTTCAAACTTCGAGCCTTACCAAACAATGATTGTTGAACTACAATGATAAGGCAGAAAATCACGAAGGTTAAGTAAGCTCTCAATGAGCCAATCAACCACCAAGTCCGACCAAAATTTGCAGCGGCGAAAAGCAAAGAGGCGAAAAAAGATAGAAACTAGTGACCTTGTTGTAACGCGGAGGCACTCCCGGCCGGCGGCGACACCACGGAGCTGTTGCTCGGTTTCAAAGCATGATAAAAATTAATTAACAATTTCATCCACCATCGAAATTTTGATATTTATATTTATTCTTAAAAAATTTAAATAATTTTATGAAATTTTAATTTTTAAAAATTCAACAAATTGTTAATTAAATTGGTTAAAAACTTATTAAATACAAAAATTAAAGTTTAAATCTTTACTAAACACTTCACTTTAATAAATATTTTTTCATGGATCGATAAAACATTTAAATAAAATAATTATTTCTAATTATAATAATGCAGTTAAAATAAAAAATAAAATCAACCTTACTCGCTTAATCAATTTTCACATTAATATATTATATTTAATAAATCATATTGGTTCTAAAAATAAAATTATTTTGATTACAAAAAATATGTGATGAAATTTAATTATTATGATTTAATTTTTCAATTTCTTACAACACGAAAATATGAAGATCAATAAATATTTTGGATATAAATTAATTTCAGTTATTATTATTTTTTTATTTGGTTATACATGTTTACGTATGTTCTAAATTGACTAGGGTCTATATACATTTTAAAATATAAAAATGTCTATTATTAAAGACTATTGAATGGAAAATTTTATTTATTCTCATACTAGATATTTATAACATTTATAATATCTATATTTATAGCATGTCGTGCTATATTGTACTACTCATAATCGTTTATTAGTCTAGTTTATACATGATAAAAATATTTAAATAATAATTTGAACGTCACAAGCTGTTGAAATGAGTATTAAACATCAAATAAATACGATCATCAAAGTTTTGAAGCTAAATATGTATATTAAACAAATACAATCATAGAGGGGAACACTGCATAGTCGATACAAGCTCGTGTCACGTCTATTAAATTAACTAACGACTTACTTTATAGATTGAACGTGTATTTTATCCATCAAAACACGTTCCAATTGGTACTCACAATTTTGTCGAGTCAAACAACATATTAAGATTTTTTTACCTTGTTTTAAGTTTGAAAAATGTAAAAAAAAGATTAAAATAATAATAATAAATAAATTTGACGAGTAATTTTTTTTAAGCGGTAAATTATATATATATGGGTGGTGTTAATTAAGAAATGCACGGTGGAAACTCCGACGTCAACGCCTTTCTCAGCCGTTCTTCCTATTTCGCTTCCCTGTGTGGCCGTTACCGTCGCCACCGGCCAATGCTCATTCCTACTGCCCTCAACGCCCTCAAATCCTCAAGGTCAATATCTTGGTCGCCGGTACATTATCTCTCCCTCTCTCTGTCGATCGCCATAGAAATGGCGCTTTTCCTAGAACAAAAAAACTGCTGAGAACAATTGAATGGAAGGTGGTTTATATGTAGTTTTCGTACTTACTTGTTCGATCTTTCTTGGTCTTTTTTGTTGTGAAGACGGGTAGGTTCCAGCAAACCTTGGCGGGATGCCTGGAGCTGAGTGGGATATCTCTGCATTCAGGGAAGGTTTCGAAAGTGAAGTTATGTCCGGAATTTGCAGGCAGAGGGAGGTATTTTGATTTCAAGTCCAACTTCATTCCTGCCTCGATCGATTATGCCGAAGAGTCGTCTCTTTGTACGACGCTCTCTAAGGATGGGTTTAAAATTCGTACGGTTGAGCATTTGCTTTCTGCCCTGGAGGCCATGGGGGTTGACAATTGTAGGATTGAGATAGCGAATGAAGACGCTAAAGACAGTGAAGTCGAGGTACTTGTGACCGTCATTGTGAATTCATTTTTTCATTATTCGCTAAAATCTAGTGTCATTTACTTGTGACCGTTATATCAATTTCTCCGGATGAATGGAACCGTGATAATTTGTTCAGCCTACTGTCATTTGGTTATATACACACACACACACACACACACGTACGTTATAAATGTTGAAAGAATGCAGCATTCACCAAGAAAAGTGAATATTAAAGAAGGGGCAAGCAAACCTTTTTTTAGGACGTCTCAGCATCATTGAAAATTCTCCTGTAAGGTGGCCAATAATGTAAAAGTCAAAATGGAGGGTGGAAAAGCACCTCCTCCATTGCAAAGCAACACCTTTGGTTTTGAGGCAAGTGAACGCCAAAATTCAAAAAAAAAAAAAAAAAAAAAAAAAA